TCTAACCAACATCATACTAGAGGCTGCAGACAGGGCAATTGAGCAAATTAAAAATGCACACAGATTTGATCATCTCTTTTCCAAGGTGGGTTTCCCTGGTAACTCAGATGGTAAAGAATCTGCCTGCAATGCAGGAAACCTGGGTTTAATCTCTGGGTTGGGAAAATCCCCTGGAGAAGGAAATGGCAACCCACTTCTGTATTCTTGCCTGGAGAATTCCATGGATAGAGGAGCATAGCAGGCTACAGTCCATGGAGTAGCAGAGTCAGACATGACTGAGCAACTACCACTTGATACAGTTGATACAGCTTCCCAAGATGCCTTAAAAGCAGAGAGGATCTGGGGCTTAGGAGAGTGAAATGCACTTCTTGTTTAACCAGCGGGCTTGGGACAGAACAACCACTTCTGCTTAGTAAATGAGCAGAGGGTCAGAGGAAACCCTCAAACCAGAAACAGAAACACATAATGAGGTGCAGACTGGAATGCGGTTTGCCTCTGGTTACTACAAGGAAGTAATTTATTAGTCGGGCTGCAGGGAAAGCTGATGCTGTCTTAGCCCATGTCCCCTACTATTAATTGTCTCCAGATGTTAGCTAAATTGAATTGTTGGGCATCTTCAAAATGTTAAACAAGCCTGAAACATCTAGTGAATAAGTTTGAGGCAAGTTTAATGGAAAAGACCAAGTGTGAGGATGAATTCCAGGGCCCACAGCTCTGACCTGTAAGTGCTTCTATCTGCCTCCAACGGCTTCGCTTTGTATAACAGAGTACATACGAATTATCTCTATCACATTATTACAACTTTAAACTTGGAAAATTACTTTTTTCCCCTACCAAAACATATACTGCTACAGTTAATGTTTTAAATTTGAATTTAGAATTTAATTGCTACACTAGTGTCTTCTCCATGTTATAATACTTTTGAAGATATAGTGACTTTTACAAATATGTAATTGACTTAGTGGCACTTACTATGGCATTTAAGAGTTGGTGATGGACAGGGAGGCCTGGTGTACTACAATTCATGGGGTCGCAAAGAGTCGGACATGACTGAGCAACTGAATTGAACCTGGTGGCCTAAAAACCTTACAAACATTGTCTATACATATTTTGCCATTTCATTCTTCACCACTTCTTACAGACTGTTGCAGTCTGACTTTTACATCTATCACCTTTACTCAGATTTTAATTGTCCTAGAAATTAACCCTATGGTTAAACTCAATTAAGTCTCATGGTTTTATTGAGTGCTCTCTCACTGGGTCTTTCTGTAGTACTCAGGGCTCTATTTTCCTTTCTTTTGCATCAAAGGCATGGCACTCTTCAGATGATACTGTTGTATCTTAGGTAATTCCTTAAAATTTTTTTTTAATTAGCAAAAACTTCAAACAAGAAGTGGGAAAAATAGTATAATAAATCCTTGTTTACCTATCAGCTGGTTTCCATAATGGTTAATACTTTGCTATTCTGAATGTAAAAAATGCTGCTGTGAAAGTGCTGCACTCAATACGCCAGCAAATTTGGAAAACTCAGCAGTGGCCACAGCACTGGAAAAGTCAGTTTTCATTGCAGGCCCAAAGAAAGGCAATGCCAAAGAATGTTCAAACTACCACACAATCGCACTAATCTCACACACTAGCAAAGTAATGCTCAAAATTCTCCAAGCAAGGCTTCAATAGTATGTGAACCAAGAAATTCCAGATGTTAAAGCTGGATTTAGAAAAGGCAGAGGAACCAGAGATCAAATTTCCAACATTCATTGGATAATAGAAAAATCAAGACAGTTCCAGATAAACATCTACTTCTGCTTTATTGTGGAGAAGGAAATGGCAACCACTCCAGTATTCTTGCCTGAAGAATCCCATGTACAGAGGAGCCTGGAAGGCTACAGTCCATAGCGTTGCAAAGAGTTGGACACAACTGAGCAACTTTTACTTTTTCACCTTCTGCTTTACTGACTACACCAAAGCCTTTGATAATGCCAAATTAAAAGACACTTGCTCCTTGGAAGAAAAGCTATGACAAACCTAGACAGCATATTAAAAAGCAGAGGTATTACTTTGCTGACAAAGGTCCATCTAGTCAAAGCTATGGTTTTTCCAGTAGTCATGCATGGATGTGAGAGTTGGACCATAAAGAAAGCTGAGCGCTGAAGAACTGATGCTTTTGAACTGTGGTGTTGGAGAAGACTCTTGAGAATCCCTTGGAAAGCAAGCAGATCAAACCAGTCAACATTAAAGGAAATCAACCCTGAATGTTCATTGGAAGGACTAATGCTGAAACTGAAGCTCCAATCCTAATGTGAAGAACTGACTCATTGGAAAAGAACCTGATGCTGGTCAAGATTGAAGGCAGGAGGAGAAGCGCATGACAGAGGATGAGATGGTTGGGTGGTATCACTGACTTGATGGACATGAGTTTGAGCAAGCTTGGGGAATTGGTGATGGACAGGGAAGCCTGGTGTGCTGCAGTCCATGGGGTCGCAAAGACTGAGTGACTGAACTGAACTGAAATGAAATTCTTTGACTGTGTGGATCACAATAAACTGTGGAAAATTCTTCAAGAGATGGGAATACCAGACCACCTGATCTGCCTCCTGAGAATCTGTATGCAGGTCAAGAAGCAACAGTTAGAACTGGACATGGAAAAATTAACTGGTTCCAAATTGGGAAAGGAGTACATCAAGGCTGTATATTGTCACCCTGCTTATTTAACTTCTATGCAGAATACATCACGCAAAATGCCAGGGTGGGTGAAGCACAAGCTGGAATCAAGATTGCTGGGAGAAATATCAATAACCTCAGATATGCAGATGACACCACCCTCATGGCAGAAAGCAAGGAGGAACTGAAGAACCTCTTGATGAAAATGAAAGAGGAGAGTGAAAAAGCTGTCTTAAAACTCAGCATTCATAAAACTAAGATCATGACATCTGGTCCCATCACTTCATGTCAAATAGGTGGGGAAACAATGGAAACGGTGACAGACTTTACTTTTTTGGGTTCCAAAATCACTGCAGATGGTGACTGCACCCATGAAATTTAATGACTCTTGCTTCTTGGAAGAAAAGCTATGACAAACATAGACAGCATATTAAAAAGCAGAGATATTACTTTGCCGATAGAGGTCTATCTAGTCAAAGCTATGGTTTTTCCAGTAGTCATACATGGATGCGAGTTGGACCATAAAGAAAGCTTAGTGCCGAAGAATTGATGCTTTTGAACTGTGGTGTTGGAGAAGACTCTAGAGAGTCCCTTGGACTTCAAGGAGATCAAACCAGTCAATCCTAAAACAAATCAGTCCTGAATATTCATTGGAAGGACTGAGGCTGAAGCTGAAGCTCCAATATTTTGGCCACCTGATGTGAAGAACTGACTCATTGGAAAATACCCTGATGCTGGGCAATACTGAAGGCAGGAGAAGGGGATGACAGAGGATGAGATGGTTGGATGGCATCACCAACTCAATGGACATGAGTTTGAGCAAGCTCTGGGAATTGGTGATGGACAGGGAGGCCTGAACTGCTGCAGTCCATGGGGTCACAAAAAGTTGGACACAACTGAGCAACTGAACTGAACTGGATTTTAAAGACTACACAGAGTTTGCACTGAAACATCCGGTGAATGAACACATGTGGGGGCTACTGGAGTCACCAAAGGAGGAAGGAGTTCAGCTCAGAGAAAGTCCATGAGTTGCGGTGCTAACCTTGACCAGCAGCACTCCTGCCTCTCATGGGCACCGTGTTGCGGGGCAGGAGAGGACACAGGCCCCACTAGCTATCAGCAGAAAGAATTCCCATGGAAGACACCCAAGAGAGGGTGAGCACATTCTGCAGAGCACCTTAAACTCCCTCAAGGTCCTCTGTCACACTCATCACCTTCTTCCAGGAGCATTCAGCCATTCCGCAGCCAGGCCTCTGCTTCACCTTCACCCCTCAGGCACCTCTGACCCCGCTCTATAATGCCCCAGCCCTTTCTCTGAGCTCTTCTGGCCAACTGCATGCCTCCAGCTCCACCTTCCACCCTCCACCCATGTGCCCTGAGCTCCCAGACACACTGCTGTGTCTCCACCAGCTCACACACCGGTTTGGCATCTGCAGAAAGTGTGACTGTGCACCATGCTGTGTCCTGGGCTTGATAGTGCTGGGGAACTGAGTCTGGAGGTGGTCCCTACACAGCATCATGTTTGTGACACATTTTGTCCTTTAACTGTATTTTCACAAGTTGTTATTATTATTGTTGCTAGGAGTTAATGCAAACATCTATGTATTTAAACTCTACATTTGTATAATGTCAAAGGGGTTTCAAGGGGCCCTATTTCTGTTGGTTTGAATTCAAAAATGTCCAGAGCACATGTTTCTAAATGGAAGGTACTAGGTGTCAATGAATTTAGTCTTTGTTCCCAGTAGAAGATGCCACCTAATGAGTACATTCTAGGTTATGATAACTTGTCATTTCAGTTTCCTTGAGCCAGGATTTGATACTTTTAGACAGTGAGTTTATAGTTTTTCTGCTAAAAATGTGAGGACTTTTGTGAGGGCTGCCTTGACATCCTTGTTCCTCAGGGTGCAGATGAGAGGGTTCAAGGTGGGGCTCATGGTAGAATAAAGCACTGCCATCACCTTGCCAGTCCCTGGAAGTTGCTGGAGCAAGGGCTCAGGTAGGTGTAGATGATGGTGGAGTAGTACATGGTCACCACGATGAGGTGGGACGAGCAGGTGGAGAAGGCTCGCCACTTCCCCTCGGCTGTACAAATCTCAGATGGTGGAGATGGTGAAGCCATAGGACACCATGGTGAGCAGGAAATTCAGCACAGCAAAGAAGATGTCACAATTGCCATGATGTCATTCACATAGGTGGAGGAGGAGAAGAGTGGGAGCAGAGGGGGCATCTCACAAAAGTGGTTGACCACATTGGGCCCGCAGAAGGTCAGCCGTAGCATCAGGCAGGTGTTGACTCCAGCTCCAATGCCCCCACACAGCCCCCACCAGTGCAGCACACACCCTGGGGCCAGCAGATAGACATGTAGTGGTCGTAGGCCATGGCTGTGAAGAACAGCACCTCCCCCGTCACTGACGATAACAGGAAGTACATCTGGGCCAGGCAGCCCCCACAGGAGATGCTCTTCTTCCCTGCTGCCAGGATCTCGAGCAGCTTGGGCACCACGGTGCATGAGCAGACAGCATCCAGCACAGACAGGTTGACCAGGAAGAAGTATGTGGGGGTACGGAGCCTGGAGCTACAAGTGATGGTGGCCATAATGAGGGAATTGCCACAGAGCACCATGGTGTAGAGAGACAGAAAAAGGCTGAAGAAAAGGACCTGGAGCTGTGGTGTCTGAGAAGCCCCAAAGAATGAATTCTGTTACCAGTGGCTGGCTCCTCGTGGCTTGGGACTACTCTGCTCAGACTCTGTCTTTCTCTATAGCTGCACTGGAAAAAGTGTGTGGAATTTATTGTCTATATAGATAGGTAGGTCAAGACGCCTTCACAGCCCAGACCCACCCAGAATTAGAGTAATTTTATGTCTCATTATCCTCAGGCACCATCAACTAAGAAGCTCCTCTCAGAAATGGGCAGCAGCTCTGTCCATCTGCTGTCATTGCCCCAGACAGAGCTCATGTGTCTTCCCATGTGCTCTCATCGCCTGCACAGCACAGAGACCTACAAAGTGCAAACCTGACTATACGGGGGCCTGCTAGAGTCCTTCCGGAGGACAACATCCCCGTGTTCCGTCCTAGCCACAGAGCGTCCAGCCTCATCCCTCCTCTCAAATCCGTCCTGTTTGCCTGAGCCCAGATATGGGCTTCCACCTCAATGAGCACCATACCCTGATAGGCAGTCTGGGCTTAGGGAGGGTTATCTGCTTTGGTGGCCAGGGCTGGTTCCAGGGGAGGACAGGAGGCCAGGGCCCAGAGTCGAGAGGGAGAGTCTAGTCACTGAAGGGGCAAGAACCAAGGTATAGGCTGAGAGGTCCAGGCAGGAGCACTCACAGAGACGGGTCAAAGGGGGTTCAGACAACCCCTGAGCAGGCAGGAGCTCATGGTCAAAGCCCAAGGCAAACACAAGAGGAGCGCAGAGGAAGTGTTTCCCCAAGCAGTTTTCTGATGCTGCCGTTTCTGCCCCACTGGACACCCAGACCCCAGAATGATGCCTCCAGACTGGGGAAGGGTGGACACTGGCAGGCACTTGGATCCACTCTGCTGAGGTGACCTTGCTCACGGCCCTCATCCTGTCTGACCCTGTGCTGACATTTTAGAAATAAGCACAATTTCAGATGAATTTCATATTCCTCAGTCTTGTTTGTTGTTCATGAACGTAGACACAGAGAAACATTTCAAGAAGAGGCCTGTAAACGACAAGTGCAGAAGTCTTGGTTTGCTGAGAAGGCTGTGTGCCTCTGAGCACTTCAGAAAGACACACAGTTATTAAGGCTTACAGAGTCTCTGAACTGGACCTGGAACAGGCTTGCCTGCCTCAGGCATATTATGTGTCTCTAAAGACACACTGGCCCTTTCCAGACAACCAGCAAATTATTCCCAAGAAAGCAATGCTACTGTTCCAAAATAGATCACAGTGTTATTTATTATTGAGTGAGAGAATCTGTTTCTTCCACCCCAAGCCCAGATCAGCTTAAAGGAAAGGTCACTGAGAACCACAGACACCCCCAGGCAGGGGTTAGTCAATTAAGTCTATAAGTGAAGCACCTTTTAAGAGTTTCCTATCACAAATGAGTGACAAGTATTACTGTCACTATTCTAGTTATGACTTTAGAGTCTCAAAGCAGAGTGCATGTCTTCCCCAAGCACACTCAAGGGTCGTTCAAACAGCTCAAGGAAACTGTCTCTGCCTATGTGTCAGGTGTGAGTAGCCCTGGCATCTTCACTTTGCACAAGGCCTCAGAGACCTTTACCGTGGGAAAGATGGCCAGCAAGCCTGGGGAAGGGGCTCCACCTTCTGAATAGTCTCTGCTAAAGACTTAGCTCTGTGCAATCACTAAACACATCATTCTGGCCACTAGACCTGATGTCTGGCCATCTCAGGAGTGAGAAGACTGCAGAGTGAGCTGCTTCCGGAGCTGTGAGCACCTGGGGTCAGAGAGGTGCAGAGCCCAGGCATCAGGGGGACACAGGTTTTCCGAGGAAAACCTGGCAGCCCTGAAAGGTACCGGGGCATGTACTACTCTCATGCCATGGGGCCAGGGCTGAGCCTGCATGGATCCTCTGCCTTCAACTGGTTTAACAACTCAGCAAAATGATGATCTGTCAGACAGACATTTTCTCTTGAAGAACAGAAATCAGTGAACACACTGGAAAGACTGTCCCCTCATGTCCAGGCCAAACTCTCTCACAACCTGGATCACAGCCCAGGCTCATGGGCTCCACCAAGCCAAAAAGGCAGCATTCAGGCCACTGGACCCTGAGACACATCAGGTCACTGCAAATATGACAGCAGATCCTAATCCCATGACCGCACTCCCACCGAGGCCTCACAGAAGGGGCACTGTCCAGGAGGAAGTGGGAACAATGTCTCATGTTAGGTCAGGAAATGTGAAAAGCATAAGAAGTGCCCACTGTGGAGAACGGCTGTGCTGCCCCTGGCATTCCCACATGTGAAGCAGTGTCCACTGGGATGGTCGCGAGAACATGAGCACCAGTGCCTCTAGAGCCCAGCACTTCCCCCAGCCGTTTCCCCACCCTGGCTGTCTGGGTTGCAGAGCGGGGAGGTGGCTTCAGCCACCACATCCTCACCCCCTTTCCTTCCCTACTCACTTCTTGCTGCTCAAAACAAAACAGAACTGCTCAGTGAACTGCTGATGGCCTACAGAAGACCCCAGGGCTCAGGCAATGGCCCTGGAGTCAAGGGAGGCAGCCTCAGCTCTCTGTCCAGGCTTCAGCTCAGCATGGACCAAATTGAATCCAGGGAAGGAGGCACACTTGGGCAGGAGCTGTCATTTTCCTCAAAGTAAGGCAGAGAAGAAACTGACGTCTTCCCAAAGAAGCCATTGTGGGAGGTGTTTCCAGATGACAGATCCCAGGTTCACACCCTTGACCCCTGGTTCATCATGGAAATACAGAGCTGAATGGCTTCCCATCAGTGATGGAGTCAAACCTTCCTCTGTGATGAAGACACAGGTGCAGAAAAGAGGGTGTTACCCAATCACAGACCTGTCTGTGCCAGAACAGACAGTCCCATCTGGGACCAACACTTCTGATCCTTCAGACCTGCAGTTGGAGAGGCTGTGCTGGAGGCAGAATTAGGAACTGCTGGTGGTCCCTGGGGCTAACACAGGCTCCAAGGAGGGAGTGTGAAGGAAAGCATGAGTCTGAGTGGCGGGTGGGGTTTTGTAGGACAGGCCAACAACAGCAACAAAACAGCAGCTAAGTGGTGGCCAAGCCAGTCTGAGCACCTACTGTGCGCCAAGCTCTAGTATTTTTCAAAAAAATAATTTTATTTTATTTTTTTTGGCACTGCTGGTTCTTCATTGCCACACAGGTTTTTCCTCAGTTGTGGTGAGTGGGGTTACTCTCTAGTTGTGGTGAGAGGACTTCTCACTGTGGTGGCTTCTCTCGTTGTGGAACACGGGCTCTTGGGTGCATAGGCTTCAGTAGTTATGGCTCCACAGCTCTAGAGCACAGGCTCAATATTTGGGGCACATGGGCTTAGCTGCTCCAAGGCATGTGAGATCTTCCCAGATTAGGGATCAAACCTGTGCCTACTATACTGGCAGTCGAACTTCCCACCACTGAGCCCCCAGGGAAGCCCCCTCTTGTCTTTTTTTTTTTTTTACATTGTATTTGCATTTTCTCATCTTTGCTGAGCTATAATTGAGACATAAAAATTGTATCTATTCAAAATGTATGAGTTGATTTTTTTTTCCCGGCAATTTACATTTTTTTGTGGTAAAATGCCGTGACATAATGTTGACTACTTTAACCATTCAAAGTGCACAATTCAGTGGCGCTAAGCACTTTTACAACATTTTGCAGTCATCACTGTCTAGTTTCAGAACTTCTCCGGCATCCCAGTGGAAAGTCCATAACTTTTAAGTAGGGACTGCACAGTCTGCTCCACAGCCCCTGTCAACCACCATTCTGTCTGCATCTACATATTCTGGACATTTTCTATCAGGAATCAGGCATTTTCAGTCTGGCTTCTCTCACTGAGAGTAATGTTTCCAAGTTTCCCCCAAGCTGTAGCAACAACAAATAGACATACAGTAAGTACTAACTGCAGGGCCACGGCTGACCTGTGGTGACCTGCATCATGGCTGACCTGCAACATGGGTGATCTGTACTGTGGGTGACCTGGTTGACCTGCACTGTGAGTGACCCACACTATGGGTGACCTGCACTCTGGGTGACCCACACTGTGAGTGACCTGCACTATGGCTGACCTGCACCATGGCTGACCTATACTTTTCTATACACCTGAAACTAACACAGCATTGTAAATTAACTATACTTCAATTTAAAAAAAAAAAAACAGTTTTTTAAAAGTATGTGGATGGAGACATATATACCATGCTAACACTAATCAAGACAGGCAGGAGTAACCATATCAATTTCAGACAGTAGACCTCAGAGCAAGGAAAGATATCAGGTATAACGGGTGTTCCATAATATAGTTGTGTTGTTTCTCCAAGAAGACACAACAATTCTTAACATGCACCTAACAAAAGAGGTTCAAACTATGTCAGACAAAGTGACAGAACTTTAATAGTGATGCAGGGAGATCAAGATGATGGAATAGGAGGATAAGAAATTATAGCAAACATCTTTTCTGACCACAATGGTATGAAGCTAGAAATCAATTATATAAAGAAAAATGGTAACAACACAAAGGCATGGAAAGTAAACAACATCCTATTAAAATAACGGTGGGAGGGGCAGTCCAAAAATAACAGAGGAATAGGACAGGGAGACCACTTTCTCCCCCACAAATTCATCAAAAGATCAGTTGAATGTTGAACAACTTCCACAAAACAACTTCTGAACGCTGGTGGAGGACACCAGGCACCCAGAAAGATAGTTCAATCTCTTTGAAAGGAGAAATCTTGAGGCAACTGTAAGAGAAGGACTGAAATCCAGAGGCAGGAGGTTTAATTCCAGAACTTTAGCACATCAGAAAACTCCTGACTCCAGGGAACATTAATAGACAGGAGCTCACCCAAAAGTCTCCATACCTACACTGAGACCAAGATCCACCCAACAGCCAACAAGTTCCAGTGCAAACACACCACACTAATTCTCCAGCAAAATAGGAACACAGTCCCAAACACTAAAAGACAGGTTGCCTAAAGCCATACCAAACCCACAGACACCCCAAAACTCCCTGCTGGACACTTCATTGCACTCCCACTCCAGAGAGAAGAGATGCAGCTCCACCCACCAGAATGCAGATGCAAGCTCCCCCAACCAGGAAACCTTGACAAACCACTGGTCCAACCCCACGCACAGGGAGCAGACTACACAGTGAAGAGAAGCCATGAACTTACAGCCTCAGAAAGGGCACCCTAAACACAGCAATCTAAACAAAATGAAAAGGCAGAGAAATATTCAGCAGGTGAAGGAACATGACAAAAACCCACCAAACCAAAGCAAAGAGGAGGAGATAAGGAGTCTACCTGAAAAAGAATTCAGAATAACAATAGTAAAGATGATCCAAAATCTTGAAAACAAAATGGAGTTACAGATAAATAGACTAGAGACAAGGATTCAGAAGACGCAAGAGATGTTTAAAAAGGACCTAGAAGGGTGAA